TTACTCTGCCAAAGTATTATTAAAATGCATAGTGAAAATACAGAATCTTATACTGTTCAACATTGAATATGAAGTGTTTGTATACAGAATCCCTAATTCTGTTAGGAAAGTTATTTTCTCTGCAGTATGTTTTATTTGGTCTTTAACAGTGATCTGGCAGGACATTCAGAAGATGATGTGCCTAAGAATTGAGTGAATAGTTGTACAACTTGAATGGGGATGATGTAACAATGCAAATACAATGACAGCTTCTACTTTAATGGCTATTTGTCTAAATTTCAAAATGCTTCTTAAAAGGAAATGAAACCTGATAGATCTGTAAAAGGTACCTCACTTGACCATCTCTAAAGGAAAACGCCATCAATGACAAACCTTCAGTTAAATCCATGCTTAAAGTACCAAAGGTCATAAGGCTTCATTTCCAGTGTTTTGGGGGAAACAATGGTGTGCTGAGATTCCATGGTATGTTTTTTGCTTTAGTTATTTCTTATACTATTAGTTATATCATTAGATTTATCACTCTGCTCTTAACCTAGAAAGGATTTGGCTGTTTTAAGGTTATGATTGTGGGTTTTTTAAAGCAGTAACATAATGCTTATAAGATTCTCTGATCACCCAGCTTCTGTTCTTCCAGCAATTTGAGCTATTTCTGTGTTTACAGGCATGAAGCCACACACTTAAGTGATTGCATTTAAACCTTTTGTATAACATTAATACTTGTGTATTGGTTTACAGGTCAGCATGATAGAATTTAATAAACTTCATAGTGAATATGGCTTATAACAATTTTTAGTGGGTTTTCTGTTAAGTATTACGCAGTTCTGGTAATGTATATAAGGCTTTGTACATTTCCTGCTTTCTTAGTAGATCTAAAGCTGCACAAGATGCAACTAGAAGAATAAGTCTATAACCTCTGGTGCCATACCCCACCCCCACCCCCCCCCCCCCCCCCCCCCAAGTTAAATTAGGTTGAAGTTGGTTGGTCTTCTGCCAACAAACTCTCAACGGAGTGTTCTAATGCATTCCTAGAATTACAGCAATACATTAGGCAGTATTTTCAGATGCATTTAGCGTTTGGGGTGGAAAGAAATTGACAATCTCAAAAATGCCTGAGCCAAAATTTGGGGAAGCTTTAATGTACTCTCTTGATTTTGTAGACTTAATCTATTTCAGTTTAGTATAAAGTCCTTTTTCTCCTGTAATTACTTAAATTGTAGATGGTTTGTGCATCCATGCTTCTGTGTGTCTGAAGAATGCTGCGGATGGGTGGAGGTCCAAGTGAATGTAGTAACTTAACTGTTTCAGTAAGCATTCCACCCTTTTTCATACCCACATTCTAATCAGATATGATAGCTATCCACTAATGTAGCACTAAGAAGATGCAGGGGTTAAGAAAGAAAGAAAAGGGAAGGAAATTCAGAATTGTGATTCTCAAAATAGCACTAATTTGGCTAGTGGTAGTGATTTCCTGCTGTGTAAGATGTATACGGTGAGCAGTTCAGAGTTTGTGTCTGCTTCTTCTCAAGGTGGGTGACAAAAACCATTATGAACTAGAAGTTTTAGCATCCTTATCGGGGTACAGCATGTTGATGGCATCTTACTTGCATTACAGTAGCTAAAATGCTAGAATTCAATATTTGAATGCAATTTCTTTTCACTCTTGCCAGAGCTCTCAAGTGTGATTCAACCCTGTCAGTAGTTCTGTAGTAAAAGAAACTACATGGCTGCCACTAAGTGTTTTAAAACCAGTTATTTGTGGTCTGTAACTCATGAACCAGGAACTGAAGATTATAATTTCAAGCTCTTCCTGTGATGGTCTGTCAACTGAAAAGATTTAAGAGCTACATCAATCATACAGACAATCATACAGCTTCATAAGCTCAGGTTTTCTGTGGCAGCTCCCCTCCTCCCATAAATCTCTTCCACCTGTTTTGCCAGGGAATGAAATGGTTTTAATTTCTTTCTAGACAAAGCTTATCAGTTGGGTTTTTGATGGTGAAATACAGGTTTCTAGATGAGGAGAATTTGTGGAATGTGTTCCTCTCCCCCTTCCTATTATGGGAAGAACTTTTTGGACTTAAAGATTCATTAAGCTGAAAATTGCTGTAGCAGTTGGAAACACTTGTGCACTGCATTTTTGTCTTGGCAGTCTCATGCTTGATTGCTGCCTTATGTCAGTGTGCTCTCTTCCCTGACACAGTACATGGTATGCTAATACCTTCTCCATCACTGTCTTGTGGGTGTCATAGCAGTCTCATCTACCACTTGACCAGGTACTGAACATGAATTCACCAAATAAAGTCAGATAAAAATGCTTCAGTGTGCCAGCTACATTAATAAAAACTTGATTTGGGAAGTGCCTTGAGACACCATATAATCTAGCCTCCTAGCTTCACTATGTCTATTATCACCTCTAGTAGACGTTTGTCTAACTGGTTCTTAAAGATTTACAACATGATACTTGATAGCTTTGCCAAGCAATCTAAAACATGTGTTTATCTTCTCTTTTGAAAGGTGTTCCTAATCTGTAATGTGAGTCTGTTTTCTTCAGCTCAGGCCTATTTCTTCTACAGATGTGGAAAAAAAGCCCTTCACTGACAGTTTGGTCCATCTGGGGAAAAATTCTTACCTGTGTCATGCAGTTTCTTCAGCATAAACAATGCCACTGCATTTCAGGTTTTGGATCCTGCTTGCAGGGTTTTCTCACCTTTCTCACTTCAGGTTCTCCTCCAGTCAGTTCTCATCCTCTGAAGTGCAGCAGACAAAAAAGGATGTGGGACTCCAAAATAAGTCTTGCCGTAGCAGACTATTTTTCAGGCTGCACATGTGTGTACACACAGCCCTACTTGGTGCTTGACTTATTATATATAATAAATTGTCACCGATTCACGTTTGGACTGTAAGCTGCAGTCAGTTAAGGCCTTAGAATTGTGGCCTCGCCAGCTGTTCCGCAGGCAGGCTTTTTGTAGCTAACTAGTCCTGCTTATTAAGTTTTGTCTTAGCCGTGATGTTCTATGGATCAGTGATGATACCTGTGTTCCTGCAGCAGACCTGTCACTGGGCTTGTGGTGCCTTTTCTCCTTCCCCCACCACTGGCTGAGGAAGCCCACAGTTTGAACTTGGATTGCAGCTGCCTGCCAGGAAATGTTTCTAGCAATCATCAGCTGTGGAATTACTGGTAATCAGTAGGACAGTAGTAGAACAGATCTTGAGCAAAGCTGTGCTTTTTCTAGGTTTGAAGTCTCATGATTACTGAACTTGGCTGGTCTTTTGAAGTGTCAATGCACAAAATTTTCTTCCCCTTTGTGTTAGTGAACTTCAGATCTGTGCTCCAAAGAACACTGTTTTGGGACCACTGAATTAGTATTCTTTCATAGAAGCTCTTTGTTTTATTGTATATTTTGGAAGTGGATGAACCATTTTATCTGGAACTTCACAGGAAAACTGCTTAAGGCAGTTACCTGCCATTGCCAAACTTCAGTGGCTCAGATCAGGTTGTCCAAGCTGTCAGTAGCTGGTGATAACTTCATGGTGGAAATACCTTGTAGCTTTAGCTGATCATGTTTGTGTTTAGCTCTAAGGGCGCTCTCCTTGTGCCTCATTGTAAGGAAGGACCAGACCATAGATCAGTTAACAGATCAGTTAACAGCATAGCAGAACTCAAAGGCTATCTAAAAATCGGTGGGAGCACGGTGTATGTTTTTCCACTCTCAAACTGCCATACAATGGTTTCATGTCTTGTCCATGAACTACAGAGAAAGGCATTTTTTACTACCTAATGCTGGACTGGTACTAAGGTATTACAAGTGCTACAGAACAAGCATAAGAAGCTCTCACTGAGCAAATAATGTGCTAGGTTTAAGTCTGCATTTAAGAAAACAGAGGAATACTGATTGTATAAGGGTGTATACTTGCTCAAATTAAAGTTCTGTTGCTGTTTTTGCCCTCGGATAGGATATATTGCTGAAATTGCATGAGGAAATCATGCAACTTCTGTTGATTCCTAAGGGAACCTGGATGAGGGGAAGAGACGTAGAACAGGCTAGTTAATTCAGCATATGTAAGCCTGTTAATCTCAATTCTTCTGAATAAAATAATTTTGAAGCTATTCCAAAAGGGACCTATTAGGGTTTTTCCTGCCTTTGTCCCTAGGATGTGCCATAGGTTTTAGAGAATTAGAATTGAATCAAGCAGTCAAGGATCTAGTGCCTCTAGAGATCATATTTTCCTGTGACACACTTAGTGATAGCTTTTTTTAATGCCTACAGGTTGGGGTTTCTGTCTCCAGTCACTCTTTTGTCAAATGTTATGCATCAGCCTGATCTCAGGTCATTGAGACTCTTTTCCATGGAAATACAGATGACAACAAATGATGCATTTCATGATGACACGATTATGACATGGATATTCATTTCTCCTTGGTGTACCTCTTACCTATAACTTTCCCTGGAAAGTTGAGGATTGCCTTACACAGTGGTTTTGGTTACACTATCTGGGTATCTCACTGATGTGTGTCAGTCAGTAATCCTTACATGGGTGAATCTTAAGACTTCCATGAGCATGCTGCAAAAGCATCCATGTCCTGTGATGCAGTAGCATCTGTAAAGAAGCTGTTAATTCCTGTTTTAGATCTTAGCAATGCAAGTTAGTTTGTATATTAAAGTGGTAATAATGTAGATCTTAAATTCTTTCTTCCTTTCCTAAGTTTTGTCCAAACATAGTGTTGTTAGACTCCAGCACCTAGAAGGCCTAAAGAAACATTATGAAGATAACTAAGTAATTGGAAATGTATATTAATGGAAAATAATCTTTCTGAGTAACTATGATTACCTTCTTATTAGTTAAGCATGCCCTTGACTCCTTACATTAAGACCTGAAACTGCTTTTTTCTTTTAGACAAGGGGAATCAAACTGCCCCCTAGGTATTTGCAAATACTATGTTTTAAGAGATATCATGTATTATGATAAATTAACCATTCTCCCTATGTATTTTAGAAAATCTCCTTGGAGTATCTGAAGTCCATATGGCTATGTATGATGAAGATATCTTGAAAAATCCCTTTTATTTGGCCATTCAGAAGCGGCGTCCTGATCTATGCAGCAAAGTTGCAGAACTCCATGGTATTGTAAGTAGAAATCAGTAGATTTAAAAGCTGCTTATTAAATAGTAGCTATGGGAATTTAAGTCAGATGTAAAGATTAGTGCAAGCCTACAAAACTTAAAAGTAAAGAGCAACTTTGTGTTTAGCTTGCTTATTACTTACTAACAGGGACCTCCTGATACATTGTATGATAGTAAAAGGTCAAAGTTGGTGTTGTTTCTGGACTTTACAGGAAGCTGTGAACTAAAGTTGCATATTCTCCCACTTGTAACTTAAAATAGGATTGACCTTTTGAAATCTCTGGTGGACAGACAATCACTCATTTCTGACAGCATTTAACATAGCAAAATAAAGCCGTTAAACTGAGCTGGAATAAAAACTCCAGTCCTTAAGACTTTTAATCTGGGTATTCTGCAGTTAGTCTTCATCTAAAATTAAATGTCTGGAGACTCCATTAAATGCAGAGGCTATTGTTATCTGATTATAAAATTAAGCCTTAAATTGGGCAGGGTTCTTTCAATTGTGTATTGAGATGGTGATGTGATAAGCTGAAATGCTAAAATCTGTTCACCAGCTCTGTATGTATTTTAACACCATTTCTGAAAACTTCTGAATGCTGAAAAGAACCACTTGCTTCGTGCTTCTCTTCCTTGACAACGAGATGTATTTCTTTTCAGTGTGTATACCGTGTTTGTTGTATTGATAACGTGTTGCTTTCTGATTAAGAATTTGTCTCAAACTGCTAATCTTTTGGTGTGCAATAGACCCAAGATGTTTCTTATCTCACATTTTTATTTTCTTCTTTCTGATGGATTTTCATTTTAGTTTGAAAATATACTTCACTTTTACTAGCTTCCTACTTGTAAGTCATTCCGGTGACTGGTGCTTAGTAACTTAAGATTTCACATCCTTCTCTTAGTATTGTTTGCTTCAGTTACATCTGTGATCCTTTTTCAGATAAGTCACTAAATCACCGAACTGTGTGTCTATCAATGACCTTTCTGTTTTATTTAAACAAAAACACCTGTAGTTGCTGTATACATTTGCTGGTAAATGTTTATAAGCCAGATTTAATTGCTTGCCTCTACAGGGCAAAGTAATTGGTGTTTAGCTGGTGATACACAGCATTTTTCTCTAAAGCATGATCTAAATTTTTTAGGTGTTAGTTCCATGCAAAGGAAGCCTTTCAAGCAACAGTCTTGCTACCTGCCAGTTTGAATCTTATGTTCTGAAGCCGCTAGAAGAAAATTTTCAGACCTTAAATGGAAAGGTATTTCTGTTTTGATATCTGAATGTAGCTTGGGGACACTCCAATAAATGGTTCACTGCAGTTGATGATTGATAGTGTGAACTAATGGTTACAAGAGAGGTAAGAGTTAGAGGTAACTGGCAAAAGTAGTTTGCCCATCTAAGCCAAAGTTCTTGAGGATATACTGCTTTCTAGAAAAAGCTGTTTTTTGGCATGTATGCAAGAATAGTTGTGTTCAATGGTAACGCTGCCTCTGATTTCAGCTTACTACTTTGGTGAAGTAACTCTGTCGATTCATCTGCATTTTGTGGCTGTTAGGAATTTTGTTGTGTGGCAGAAGGGCCTTTATCACTTGAGGACTGTCTCTCTAGCTTTCAGGCAAATAGTAGCCTGCTTATATTGTATGCAGATGCAAGTTCACCAAGGCTTAAGACAAAATTATGATGGTATTGAGTTGTATCTGAGTCCTGATGTATTAATTCAGTTCAGGAAGTAGATTAGAAACAGACTAATGTAGCAGGAAGCCATGATAACCACTGGTAGCACTGCATAGGATCACATTTTTTCACTTGTAATGTTGCAGTACAGTCTGAGATCTTGCACCTGTTTGCAGGCTATCATCTAGATCTTCCTACTGCAGATGTCCTCACTGGAGTTGCTTGAGAAGATAAAGCTGAGGGTGAGAAATGTAGACAAGATGTGTGGTGTCTTTCTGAAGCTGGACTTAGGCCCCAGTATTAAGTTGTCTTTCAATTTCCCTTCTAAAAGTACTCTAAAAATCTGCAAATAGCCACTCAGACCTTGGAGACTGACTGAAACCTCCTCTAGCAGTAGACTTGTAAAGAAAGCAGGTATAAGTGAGGTTTAGCTAGCCATAGTAGACTGAAGGAGTCTTTGTTTCGGTGTCTACACAGCATGAGACTATGAAATCTCTTGAATCTGGGGCTTGCTTATCTTGCAAGATTCTCTTATTTTCCTGGAAATGTAACTAGGCAATGCAGAAGCCAACGAGTAACTTTCTTCTGGTGAAGTTCTGCAGTTGATCTGTGTTTTGTTTCAGGAGATCTTCATACGAGGAAACCTCATCATTTTAGGAACTGGTTTTAATTACCACCTGTCAGTACCTGTTCTTTTTGAGGAAACATTTTACAATGAAAAAGAAGAAAGCTTTAGTATACTGTGCATAGCTCATCCATTGGAAAAAACAGAAAGCTCAAGTATGTATTGAAGTGTTAACTTGGTAGTCTTGTTTGCACAGTGAGCAAATCAGTATGTTTGATATGCTTAATACATTTCCTTCATTCTGAAAAGTGTTGGCTTGTTTGGAAGCTCTTGGCATTTATTAGCCTGTTGGGGTGGATGTTGGTATGCTGCTGGAGAGAAATACTAAGTTGCTGCCAGGCAGACTTAATTCTGTAGGGTATATGCCCCAGCCTCAGCACTAAAAATAATCTTCAGAATACTTAATCCAGCATAATTTTTTAGCAATGCTCAGTTTAGTGCTGACTGCTTAAAAAAGGGATTTAGTCCTAAATGTGACGTGTATCTTGAGGTGCAAGGTGGATGCATAAAACTGGAGAGGTAAATTCCTTCATGATCACTTCACCAGTGGTTAGAGGTTGTATAGCATAGTTATGTAGCAGCTCTTCTGGTGGTGGTCTGTCTCATAAGTCGGATGTGTCAATTTTTGCCCTAGTACTGAAAGTGCTCTTGATAAGACTGGAACACTATTCCCAAGGTTACTGTTAAAGCTGTGAATGTAACAGGATTTCCTTCTGAGTTTGTATAACAATCTGTGTTTACTAATTAAAAGGAACAGAAGCTTCTTAAAACATACCCTTTTTCTGAAATAAAAACATTTTGTCTTCCTAAATACATAATAGCTATTTGAAATGAATGATGACAATGTGAAGTAATACAATGGTACTGTGAAAATAGTACTGAGGGAGGTATGAAAGTTGTTCTGAAAAAAAAGCTGGCATATTTATAGAATTTAAGTCTACATGTATTAATCTAAATCTAAAAAATTATTCATGGCATTCCTTTTTTGGCAATTACTTAATGTAGTTGTATAGCAGTCTTTCAGAAGTGAGGTAATTTGTGATTTCAAATGCAGTTGGAAATGAATGAGATCCAAGCCTGTTATTAGTTGGCTGCCTCTGATTGCAAATGACAGACTTGCCTAAAAGTAAAGTTTTGGAAAAGCAATATGAATTTTAAGTGAGGGATCCAGTTGTCTTATTCAGAAGGAAAGTGGATTTGAAGCAAGAAATTCAGAGAAAGCACATCTAAATAAAGAATGGGTTATGTAAAAAATCTAAGTGAGCTGTAAAAATTCCATCTTCGAGCACACTGACTTCCTGCATGGGCATTCAGTCAATACTGTAACGTGCTTTTTTATTTTCAAGCTTGACTTGCACTCAGATTGAGTTGTGTGTGTGACAATAAACTACCCCAAGGTAAAAAAGCATGTAAAATCAGTTTTAGCTATTCCAAATAAATACTTGACATAAAAGGCAAGTGAGCCTACTCTGAATGTGATGCATTGAATTCTTGCAATTAAAAGCAGTGCCTTGACTTAAAGGTGTGGTAAGCTGAATTAATGTTTCATTGCACACAAGGTGGCTGTGTATGTAGGAACAAAGTACTTTACCAGGCATACATATTAAACCTATGTGTTAATTCTTGGCTTTCATTTTAGGTGAATCCACAGCTGCTTCAAACTCCTATTCTCTTAAAAATATTGAAGATGTTAGAGAATTCTTGGGAAGGCACTGTGAAAGATTTGATAAATACATAGGATCTTTCTATAGAACATTTAAAGAACACGAAAGGAAAAGCCTCCGCCACTACATAGTCAGTATCTTGCTTCTTGATGTTTAATTTACTAAATATAATGCACTTCACTGCTTTGGATATATGTCTTATTGAGCTTTTCTATGTTAGAGTAGTCTAGTGTTGAGGAAGGTGGGAATGGAGAAAGCAGAATTCTTAATTGTGAATTACCACATCTTAACTATTAGATAAAGACAATTGTTCTAGCTAAAAATCTTATCATAGTGCATTTCTCTAAAGCAGGGAAGACTTCCTTTCTTTATTTATGCGTTGCTTCAAGTCAGATTAGCCTGGATCTGAATATTTTTTTTCTTCTGGTCCCCAGGATTCTGTCAATGCACTTTATACCAAATGTCTCCAGCATCTTTTGAGAGATTCGCACTTGGTAAGCACGCCACTAAATACGTAGTACATAATGTTACTTAAGCAATAAATTATCTAACTTTATCTTGCTGTTTGTATGGCTTTCCTTTTCTAGAAGATGCTTGCAAAGCAAGAAGAGCAGATGAATCTGATTAAACAAGCAGTTGAAGTAAGCATCTGAAATGAAGGAAAATAATTAGCAAGCTATTTTTAACTCTCCCTTTCATGCCTAAAACACTGTGTTTTTTTTTCTACAGATATATATCCATCATGCTATTTATGATCTAGTCTTTAAGTATGTGGGGACTATTGAGGCAAGTGAGGTAAGTTCGTTTATTGCTAAAGATTAGTTACATTAATCTAATGCATCTTAAAAAACTGTTGCCTTTCTATTGTTTAGGATGCTGCTTTTAACAAAATCACGAGGAGCCTTCAAGACCTGCAGCAAAAAGACATTGGAGTGAAGCCTGAGTTCAGGTGAGAGATATGGTTGTGGACTTTTTTTGAGTCATTGAAATCCTGCCTTAAATAAGTCTCAGGCGAGCCAAAAAGTGCCTTCCTTCAGACAATAGCAAATTTTTCTTAGACTTCATTCCTTTGAGATGGAAAAGTAAAGCTTTGCAAGTGTCATTTTAGGGGAGTCTTTGCATTTATCATTATCTCCTTTGCTTTTATATTCTTATGATTCCCTCTCTACAGGGTACAGAAATGCAAGTGCACTTGGAGTAGAGATGGAAATATTTTATACCATTCTTCATTTTGGCTCTGAATAAGTTAAACCTTAGTTTTGGACATCCTGCACAGGAATTCTGTATGTTAATAATTTCTTCCAAATTATTTTGTAGTTTTAATATACCACGGGCAAAGCGAGAACTGGGTCAGTTGAACAAATGTACGTCCCCTCAACAGAAGCTACTTTGTCTACGAAAAGTGGTACAAATTATTATGCAATCTCCTAGCCAAAGAGGTCAGTAATTAGTGAATTAATGACTTAATTTTAAACTCTTCTTAGCGTGTACACACAAAACACTTTGGTATATAAACAGGTGTTTGAAAAGTACTTGTGGATGAAGCACAATAAGTCTGCGGTCTGCCTTGCAGGTCTCTGAACAAAGTGAAATGGAGGCAGGTTAGACACCTTGCATTGTTTCTCGTGGAGTGAGGTGGGGTACTTGGATAGCTTTTATATACGTTTTAGCTAGAGCATGTGAGAAGCTTGCATGTGCTAGGACATCTCATGCAGAAGAACTGTGGGTGATCCACTTAAACCCTGAGGATTGCTGCTAGATCATTCTTGTGTATTTATCCATGTTCCTTGATACTCTTGAAATTGATACTCTTGAGCCGCATCTTTTGCAAAATGCGGTGTACAAATAAACCTTCTATATGCTGCATTCAAAGTGCTACCATGGATTACAGAAATGATTCTGTGATAGCAAAGCATGGACCTCTTAACCTGATATTTATTTTACCTAGCCTGGAGAGAGAAGATATTTCCACTAATCAAATGGAATAGTACAGTGAACTTATGCTTTGTCTAGTTAGTATTCCTGGAGAAGGGAAGATACTACTAGGTTATGGAAAAGTGTATCAACTTAGAGGGTAGTTTTTGCCCTCAAGAATTTCAGAAATTTTGAGCTAGTGCTCTGGCTCTTTTTGTGTTAGAAGGAGGGGATGCTAGTCAATGATTGCAATTTGTACAGTACAAACTGTATTTGGTTACTTTGGCTCCTGGCAGCCTATTATAGAGGGAGATTGAGAATGTTTGAAGGGCTGCCTCGGTTACTCAATGCATTCTCTACTAGTATAGCTGACCCTTAGTCTTAGGCAGTGGAACTCTATTTATAGGTATTGCTCTTGATTTGAACCATGAGATGACTAACATCAGATGTAAATTCTTTTTTTAGTTAACATGGAAACCATGTGTGCAGATGATCTTCTCTCTGTTTTGCTGTATTTACTTGTAAAAACAGAAATACCAAACTGGTATGTAACTATGTTTTGGCTATACAGAACTGCCTCATATGATCTTAATGTAATGCTGCTGTAGGGGCAAATGTTTCTGAACATGTAGTAATAACTTACTGAAAGTGTAAGAGGGACTGATGTAATGCAGAAAACTGTTTTTAGTAGGACAAACAGCAAAGATCTGTTATAGGCATGACTGAATTAAGGACCTATCAGAAATTCAAGTGCTGTATCTTTGCTGTTTTGATTCCTAGCCTAGAAAAAAGTTGTAATGGGAGGCCATCTCTATACCAAATCTGCATGTCCAATACAGACTTCACAGACTGGTCCTTCCTTGTCTGTGTTTGGAGCTATGAAACCTTTATGCGGCTTCTAGATGCTTGATACATTTCATATAGAGAAACTAGATTTGAATGCTGAATTGCTTGCTGCTAGTCTATGCCATTGCGTTTCTCTCCTCACTGTCGTAAAAGTATATTTAAACCTTCCACCTGGACCTGAACTGTATTTTAGCGTTGATGTATCCCATATCTCAGATTAGCATTTTTCCTTTAATTTGTAGCTATCACTTTATACTGATGCTTATGGTGCTTGAAATATTAACATGTTTGGAATGTTTGAAACAATCTCCTGCTGCTGTTCTTATCCTGTCCTTCATATTCCTTATAACCAATGAATAACTTTTCATTGAATAATTAAGAGATAAGTGGAGTTCTGATCCATCTACAAAGCTTAGAACACCCATAATATTGCTAACCTAACAAGATTTCTAGCAGCTTTTTCTTAACTCACACTTACTGTTTGCCTGGATTGCCTAACATGATTGCAGTATTAAGATACATCAGACTAGTGTTGTCTTATTTTTAGTGGCTCATGGCTTTAACTTTTTATTTCAGGATGGCCAACTTGAGTTACATAAAGAACTTCAGGCTTTGCAGTTCAGTGAAGGATGAATTGGGATACTGTCTAACCTCAATTGAGGCTGCAATAGAATACATACGACAAGGCAACCTCTCTGACAGATCAACAGTAAGCTACTCTTGAAGTCTGTCAAATGTGTATTTACTAAGCTTGTAGGACTGTATACCACCAGGGGAGTTAATAGTTAGATACAAACAGCTAGAATAAGAGTTCCTTTTTTGCACTTAAGCAATGAATTAACTACATCTGAAACAAATGCTAAAATGATGTAAATGGTTACAATGAAGTCCTAATCCTGTAGCAATACTTGTCCATTGTGTACTCCGTGAGAAAGTAATTAAATGTCAAGTCTGCTTCTTCATATGGTTAGAGGAAAAATGACAGCACTACATTTTCAACAGCTGAGTCTTCAATAAGTTTAATATCTCCTGTTTGTACTCTATCATGGTTGCGAAAGCAACACAGTCCTTGAAAGTAGGCATAGCTTAAACAGATTTTTCTTGAATTTTAAGAAGCTTAGCTATGCTAGCAGAATGGAGATTGCAGTGTAACTTAGAATTACTCAGTAAGTCTTCGTACTCTAAAGTTCCACCAATTTGATAGTTTAATGGGAATGCAGGACTATGATAAGTGGTGTTTGAAGGTCAAATTTGGCTCTCGGGATCTCTAACATAGCAGGGGCAGAAGTCTGTGGATGCATGAGTTATTTCCTACTGGGCAACTAGACCTTCTGTCAATCAGGTCAAATCCCTGCAGGCCAATCAAGGATTATATTGATATGACTTTAGAAACTTCTATGATTTAAGAACTTTGTAGCTTATTTAGTAAAGGAATCTGGTCTTACTGCTCCTGTAAAACTTTCTACTGTTGCAAAATTAGGTTTTCCAGATCTGATGTGGAAATCAAAAGGAGTGAAATTGGAACCAGAGTGAATTCAATGTGTCTCAGTCTGCCCAACTGTAAAGCACTGGAATCTAATTGCAGGGGCCAGAGTAATGGCTCAGTGTGCAGGGCTTGGGATTGGACAACCTGGGGCACAATCTTAAAGAAGCAGCACTTTAAAGTAACATTTTAGCCTTTTGTTCTTTCTGGGATCTTTCCATGAACCTGTGAGACATAGGTTTGTTTTGTACACTCAAAAAAAAAAAAAAGCACTTTCATTTTGTGTGAAGAGTCTGTGGTATTTCTTGTCTGTAATGCTGTATCAAATTATGTTAAAAAAATAAAAACACTAGTTTAAAAGGAAAATAACCTGCCAAACAATTTTGCTTCCTACAGTCACTTGGCTATCATTAACGATCAGTATACAAATAGCAATGCTGGTGATCTGGATGGAGAACTGGAACCAAAGTAGAGTTGTCTTCCACAACAATGCCAGCAAGCTGGAAAATATACCGCTCTTAAACTTCTAGAATAAAAATGGTTTCCTATTAAATGCCTGGTCCTATCCCTCCTTATATACCTAAGGATAGCAGGTTTTTATACTGGGATTGTCCTCAAGTGGTTATAACTGAAGGGCCACTGCCATTAAGATACTATCTTTATATCTTTGGGAGCTATCTGTCTTGAAAGATGAACTACATATTTGAGAAGTCTAAGTGAGGGCAGTCTCATAGTGCTTATGTTAGTGTCTGCACCAATATAAGAGTAAGCAAGAAGTGTTTCTGTCCATGCCTCAGCTGGATCAGCTCCAGCCCCAAAGTGCTAATCTGAGTGTGTGTACTGTGAGTGTGCAACAGAACTCTGTTCTTCTACATTGCCTTTCATAGGAGTCACTGCGACTTACAGGCAACACCCTGAGATAGAAAACAGCAGAACCTTAAAAATGAGGAAGTGGGTTACCCCTTGCCCTCTAGCACAGCTCAAGAGGAAAGAGCTAGACCTCCCCCTTTTCTCTCGTGTAGTGTAAGTGAGAATGTGGCACACAGTGAAGAGGAAGAAACTGTCAAGGGGCTATTTGCTACCTAGGAATTGGAAAAAGAATAGTGATGAGGTAGAGGAACATGGTAGGAACTTCAGATAACATTACTTTCCCTTCATGAACTTGTCAGTTATTTCCTTTATTCTCTGGTAAAAGAGATCAACTTTCTGTTTAAAGCATCAGCAGCTCTCACATTGATGCCCCCTGGTTTCCTTTTCCAGATTCTGCTGGAAGGGGATGTGGGATTTAAGTGTGCAGGAACATTGCTGTGCCCTGGGGCTTCATTACAGCCCCTCATATGGCTACACTTAATTTTATAGCTGGCTTCAGATGGAGCTTCTGGCAGCTGAGTAATGCTGTTGTTCAATCCCTAATGAAGCTAACTACATGAAGAAAACTCAGCAGGGAGCTAATGTACCCTGTGGGATAATGGGCATATTATCACCCTCATGTCAGTAAAAAAATTGCACTTAGGAGACACCTGCCAACTCCCTTCACCCAAGGTCGTGCAAGTCTTGGAGAGACATTTTGGTTGTTGGGCGGAGAGAAGCATGTAACTGATAGCACAAAAAATTCCATTTTATTTTTTGGGACTTGTCAACCATATTTAATTAGAATCCCAGTTAATAAGCATTGGACCTTAGTTACATTTCTATGCACAGCTGATGTGTAGTAAGACCCTCTAGTTTAGAGGGTTGGAGTAAAGTATGAAGTAGGGAGCTAGAGCCAGCCAGGAATAGGCAGCATTTTTATTCTTGTATGGAAAGAATGGATGGGTGTCAAAGTTAGCATGGAGGAAGTACAGGAGGAGAAGCCAGGAACGGAAGACTTGAACACAAAGTGTGGGGCGAGGGAGCGGAGATAGTTTCCCGAAGTTATCAGTTGTAATTTGTGAAAGTCAGCTTGGAGAGGTCATCACACAGGTACATCCTCATAGGTACAAATATTTCATTAAAGATCATTAATGTTTGGATGTCTATTTTCTAGATAATATGATTTAAAATAGCTGAGAGTCCTATTCAAAGCAATTTTTTTTTGAAATTCCTGTACCAGCAAGTAAAGCTGGTACAAATGAGTTTTGTCTTTGAAGGCCCAAACTTGCTTAATACTTCACCCAATACCTGATTCTTCTGCTGTTCTGTATTCCACACTCAAAGATACATAGTCCACACTTGGGGTGGACTCTTTTTTTCTGATTTATGTAATAAAAAGGATAATACCTCTACATAAGGATTGCTGTCTCAAGTGACTCTGAAATAATTATTCTACTTGGGAAACACCTCATAAAATATGTGTGGAAGGAACAGTACTAAAACTATAGTAGGTCTTGTAGTCGTTACTTAGATTCTCTATGGTAAAAGTATAAAGCTGTCTGTGAGCGTTCACGTTAGAAATTCTGATTAGACTTCAGAAACTTGAATCAGCAGTAAAGCTTTAACATTTTTTTCTAGTTAATAAAATTTTTAATCAAATACTTCTCAGGGAAGTTATTCCTGATCACACTGAAGAATCTATCCAAGGAGGCTAGTGTTATATGCCTTGTAATTCTGAAAAGATATGCTAGGGTATCTTCAGCTAAAGTACTTAGGTTTGAAAAGATTGGTGAATATTTGCCACCTTCATGTATCTAAATATGGACAATTTACTGTGAAGTACAGATCTGAACTTTCATCTCTAGACCTCACAAATGTGTTTTTAACGATAGTATTTGCTGTACAATGGAGGGGTTTTTTATACAGCTTTCTGAGAGGCATCTGTGTTGATTTTGAAACTTGAGTGACAATTTCTAGAAAGTCTGAACTCTTTATTTTTGGTGTTCAGGTGATCTTGTTTATTTACAGTTCACTAGTTTCTTAAACTTCATGTTGGCTTACTAATGTTAAGAGCTGAGTCAGACTTTTTTTACTCATTTATATTTGATCTTTACAGACTTAATTGAAGAACTATAGCTTAGATCCTAAACCATCAAAGTTTATCTGATACATGGGTGTCTATCTTAAATGCAGTGGTCTTCAGTTTGATGGATGGTGGGAGTCTTTCCATCTCTAGGGAGATAGTTATTATCCAAAAATAACATTCAAAGAAATTATATTCACTGCCATCCATAAGCAGTGATTATTCTGAATCAACTATGTGCAAGTGTTTCCATCTACTTTCTTAGTGTTTTCTTAAGATTGTTGTCTTATTTCATGTGAGGTTCAATATTGCCATTTCAAAATCTGACTCTACTTGAGAATTTTCACTTGGTTTTGGAAGCATATATATTCTTTAGTGCATCCTGAAGTGTACCTTCAGATTTGTCAAAAAATGGGAAGTATTGATATGAGTTGCACTACATGTCTGCTTAGCTTAATCTCCAAATTTCAGTAGGTGACCGGTAGAAAACTAACTATATGAATGAGTCTGCTACAGAGTAATGCTTCATCTGGTGCAATCTTTTATTTTCCAGCAAGTAGCAGGGAGTTTAGCAGAGTCTTGGAGTCAGAGTTGTATCTGGGTCATCTTTTTAATAGCCACTAGTAGACATGTCTTACATGAATTTGTCTAATACCTTTTTGACTCCCATTTATACTTCTGATTTTTGCAACATCCTATGGCAATGAGTTCTGCAATAAGAGAACATTGTTTCTTCTTTCTCTTCTCCCCTCTCCCTCCCCAGACCTAATGTGTGATGATTTTGTTGGGCACCCCAGTTCTTATATTTTGAGGAATAGTGGATATTCATTCTTTGCATGTTTTCTTTGGACTTCTTACGAATTTTAGAGACCACTGTAGCAGAGTCAAATCTTTTCTAGAGTGAAGAATCCTATTTTCTCCTCGTAAGAAAGCTGTAATGCACCTCTTACAGTTCTTGTTGTCTTTTTTACGTCTTTTCTAGTTTTACTGTGTTCAGTTCTAGATGGTGCAACCATAGTTTCATTAATGCTCAGTTAGTTCATGGAGAAGTACAGTAAAGGAATATTCTGGTGAACATCTACTTATTATTTCTTTGAATAGCAGGTGTGTAGTCTGTTAAGTTTCAGAATCCTAAATGTGAAACTGATTTAGGTTTTACATGCATCTGATAATTCATAAGTGGTAAATACAGTGCTTAATATTTTTAAAGTTAATTTCACTGTTAAGGTACTTTACTTTTGCCTGTAAATGAGCCTATAGATAATCAATCTATGTATTTTATTTTCAGGAATCTGAGAGACTGTGTGACAAGCTGCTTTTAAGACAAAGGATGAACTTGTTGTCCCAGATGTCTGCTACTCCAATAGACTGCTTATTTAAGGTTGATAACTTTTATGGCAGAATATGTATATAGTTATGTTTTGCACGTTTATATCCCTTCTTTTCCGTGGTGTTCTGAAATCTAATACAATATTAATTACATTAGTACTGCAAAATGTGTTTTAGTAGATGCTAAAAGTGTGTCTTGAATCTAGTACATTTCTATGTCAAAACGTTACCAAGTTAATATAATCTTATGGATTTTAGCACATTATGAGAAATGTGGAAGCAAACGAGGATGAAATGCTTCTGCTGTTGGTATTGATTGGCCCATTTAATGCACAGATGTGGTATTACTATCTGATTGTCTCTGAAAGCTTTTAGTGCTTGAAATTGAAAGTTTTCTGAAATAATTTAAATGTGGTCACCTGACAGCTACTTCATATTATATGTTAATCTCATATTGTCATTCTAAAAGAATTTTTTCTATACAAGGACAGAAGCAGAGCTTCTAATTATATGTGTTCACAGCTTATGGCTAGCGACTTAGTAATTTTATAGAAATGTTTTTGCACAGAGGGAGCTCAATTTCGTGACTGAGTCTAAAGAGAACAATAGGAATTGTTTTAATCTTTTATAGAAAGTGAAGTAAGCCAAGAACAGATTCTTTTTAATACTGAATGCCCATTAGGAGGTTTTGTGCTGTGACATTGTTCACTTCTGCTTTCTAATGCTTGAATACGTGTCTTTTATAATCAGTTCCTTTCATTTTGTGCTTCAGTAAATTACTCTATTTTTTTGTGTGTGGGTGGGTTTGTTTTTTTTTTTTTAAAGGAGGCTTTTTATATTGGCTCTTCATTCTCTTTCTTCTCTTGCCTTTTTGTAGCATATTGCTTCAGGTAATCAGGAGGAAGTGGAGCGATTACTAAGTCAAGGTGACAGTGATAAGGACACTGTACAGAAAATGTGTCATCCACTCTGTTACTGTGACAAATGTGAGAAGCTAGTATCTGGGTAAGCACTTTTCATCTCCACAAATACACAAAAAGCTACCTAAAAGTCTTCATCTAAGATTTGCTTTAGAAAGTATAGAAT